TTTGATGCGAAGAAAGAAAAATGGTCACCTTAATAGCATGCGCATTCAAACGGAGATGGATGCAGCAAACAAAATGGTCAGATTATGTAGTTCATGTCGACAACCAGGACACAATTGTATAAAATGTCCTAATGTAGGATCAAGCACATGATCATAGTTTTTAATGTAACTGTGTCCCTTTAAATCAACAACAAATTTCATTCTATTGATAACATACCTAAACGATGACAATTAACAACAACATAAATTAAACAAACATAACTTAATATCAAATCAACAATCCAAAAATAACAACAACATAATCTAATATCAAAATAACAATAAGAAAATAACAACAACAAACCCACATAAAACAACTCAATACATCAACTTGTCTAGGATATTACAACCATCAAGGTAATCTTTTTTGATGTTAACATCATCATAATGACACCAACATCATTTTCCACTTTTCTCCAATCACGAGTAACTCCGTTTCTCCCTGACTCCTAAACTAACCTCTTGATTTTCCTAATCTTTTCACCTACAACAATATCTTCTTCTAGCCAGCGGTTCAGTTCCCTATGCAAATGCTTTAAAGTTCGCGTGTTCCACAATAACACCTTCACTACAAGAAAAACCGGATTTGGCTAGGGGTTAAACCCCTCACTAAATCAAAAAACCCATCAAAAAACCATAATTTGCAAGGGGACAGAACCCCTAGCTAATCAGGGCATCGCAAATAATTGGTGAGGGGATAAGCCCCTCGCAAAAATGGCTAGGGGATAAGCCCCTCGCAAAATATAATAAAAAAAAATTCTCCTCCTACACCACAGACGTAGCCACAGACTAGAGGCAGAGAGGGGTTCAGACCTGTCACAACAGATTGCGAGGGGATAAGCCCCTAGCTAAGTCACGTGATTCCTAAAATTAGTGAGGGGCAAATCCCCTAGCCAGCTGTGTAATGCATTTGCGAGGGGTTAAGCCCTTAGCCAGCTGTCCCACATTTTGGGATTTGCGAGGGGTTAACCCCTAGCCAATAATTATATTATATTTTTTTTTTAAATTAATAATTATATTGAAATAATTATATTAGAATAATAATAATATATTATATAATAAATTTTTATTACATTTTATAATTATATTATTATAATTAGAATAATATAATTATATAATAAAAAATATATATTTTAATATAATTATATAATAAATAAAAATATATATTTTGTAAATTATATTTTAATATTACAAATTATATTAATATTTTAGAAAATGTATATATTACAAATTATATACTTTATATAAAAAGTTTGTATATGTAACTTAAATATATTATAAATTATATATTTTTATGATTTAACTCATACTTTTTAAATAAAAGTGTATATTAATATATATAATCTATTCTTTTATAAAAAAAAATATAATATGTTTTCAAATTTAAATAAATAAATATTCTGTTTTTAAAAATAATATATAATATGTTTTAATATTCTGTTTTAAATATGTTTATAAATAAATAAATATTCTGTTTTAAATAAATAATATATAATATAAATCTGTTTTATATTCTGTTTAATATTTAATATAATATAAATAAATAATATTCTGTTTTAATATAATATAATATAAATATTCTGTTTTATAAAATATAAATAATATATTCTGTTTAATTATATAATCTATTTAATATTTAATAAATAAACATTCTGTTTTATATAAATAAATAATAAATAATATATAATATTCTGTTTTAAATAAATAAATATTCTGTTTTAAATAAATAATATATAATATAAATCTGTTTTATAATATTCGATTTATAATATGTTTATAATATATGTTTTAAATCAGTTTATAATATAAATCTGAATATGTTTTATATTATCTGTTTTAATATCTTAATTAAAATCTGTTTGATAAATCTGTTTTATAATATATATATATATATATATATATATATATATATATATATATATATATATATATATATATATATATATATATATATATATATATATATATATATATATATATATATATATATATATATATATATATATATATATAATACTAATATTTTAATTAAAATTTATTTTATAATATAAATATTAAAATCTGTTTTATAATTAAATATATATATCTGTTATATATATAAAAATATACATAACCAACACACATAATTTTCGAAATAAATATTCATCTTAAATTTTAAGAAAAAACAAAAGTGTGTACTTTTTGATCTTCTTCCAAATTCCTAATTCCTCTTGACAAAAATTTGATAGCTTATATTATCCACAGTACATGCAACACAACAAATAAATAAATAAAATTAATTAATAAATCTAAACAATAAAATAAACTATAAATACAAAAATAATAGAAATAAATAAAATAAGTTACTTTTATCAAATGGAATAAAAATGTTGGAACATGAAGGAGGAAGAAGAAGAATAGGGAAGAAAAACTTTGAAAATGAAATGGAAAAGAAGAAGATTGTGGGAGAAATGGAGAAGAAAGAAGGGAATAATCGTATAAATGTGTGGGCTGTTACAATGTGAAATAAATTTGGCATTTAATATTTTATTTTGCGAGGGGCATCCCCTATCCACCTTTCGCGTGTGGCAGACAATTTTGCAGAGAAATGCAGAGGAATAAATGCTTTTTCAGTGGAATTTGACTAAAGTAGGACAAGTGGTGAGGGGATGCCCCTCGCAAATTGTGAACGTGACGTGGTGAGGGGCTACCCCCTCGCAAATTGTTCAGCTTTTCCACCAAAAACTGCGTTGAACCCTAGTAAAAGTATATTTCAAAATTCAAAAAATTTTCCCTCCTTCATTGCGAGGGGTATCCCCTAGCTAAATGTTTATATTTTTTTCTCTCCTATTTTGCATTTTGCGAGGGGTTTAACCCCAAGCAAATGGTTTTATTTTAGTGAGGGGTTTTCCCCCAAACCCATGCTCCTAGCTAATTCAATGTTTTCTTGTAGTGCTTCATCGGAGGCTTTATTACTGAAAAATAAACTAGGACATTTCTTTTCATTAGAGGAAATGTTGGAAACGTTCCTTCGATGATGATGACGGCGACGATGAACATTGATTTAGAAATGCATACATTCTAGAATGATTTGAAAATTATAAAGAATTGAGTCTATTGGTGAAAATTGTTGTGAAAAAAAAGAGAGTGTGCAGTCTTATTTATAGAAAAATAAAACAGTACGAGCCACATATGATATGCTGTAAATACCTTTACAAATTCATGATGAAACAAAACAGAAAACAAATAATTTTAAAAAAAGGGATTGTACTGAGGCGCCATACCATATGGCACCTCCTCTGAAAATTAGGGTTATGTCATAAAGGGTGGCGCCATACCATATGGTGACTTGGTTTTAGGGCATAAGGGAGGCGCCATATGGGATGACGAGTTGGTATATGGCTTCACCCATTAGCCATTTTATATGGCGCCTCAATATTGAATGATAGCCATTTTGGGAGTTTCTTTGAATTCCCTGTTAAATTTGTATTTTTTTTGAAAAAAGTAGTTATTGGAAAAAAGTTTTGATTGTGAGATTGATGAATTTTCTATCGTGAGAACGAGAACATCCCCTGATTCCAATCCATCTCCCCTTACTCACAATTGCATGAGTCACAAAGTTATATATTTAACCGTCGATTCCGGTTCAAAATGGGTGTTTGAAAACTCCCTTTATGAATGGGCTTATTCCATGGATTCTTTCGAGGCTCTCTTGTCAAAAGATAACGTTGAGGAGGGTCATGATATTGCTTATATGCCCCTCATGTTTTGTCTGCTGCAGAAATACAAACTGCTAAGTTGATGAGAGAAGGCACTAGAGATTTCGTTCAGATTTACAAGAGAACCTACAACCATAAACCCATTGATGCTGAAATCAAGGTCCACATAGAGCATAAGGGGTTGACCAAATGTAATTTCTTGGCTCAAGCCTGACAAACATTTTAAAGTTGACGAGTTATCCAGGAGGGGGTGACATTGGTGGAGTCGGCCAACACGAGGAATTATGGCTGAGTGGTTGTAGAAGTGGTGGGTGCCCCATCCACTTTGAATACCGAAGCAGTCATAGATTTTGTCGACATTATGGCCGGCAACCCGCTAGATTGGTCGACCCTTCCAATAAGTTCATAAAATAGGATATGCAACTCATTTGACGAGTGCTTGATCCCATTTTATGAATGTCTGTTCACTAGAATAAGATTATTACTGCACTTTTCTGAATTTGAGGTGGTTGTCTTAAAACAATTAAAGATTGCTCATTCCTAGATTTACCGAAATCTCTAATTCCTTTGTAAATCAGTAAGTATAACCCATCATTTTAAAAAAGAACGCACGATCAGAAACATGAATAACACATTACATTATTAGGAGAAATTCACATTACTAACTCTTTTTTTTGATCAATTAGATTAGGTTTAATACCTCTTTTGGTCCTTTAACTTAAAAATGGTTCATATTGGTCCCTTAACTCATCAAAACGTTCCATATTAGTCTTAATAGCAAAGAAAAAAAATTCAAAAATCATTCGATAAATTCATCGTTAATTAAAAAAAAGACTAGTATACGTTTTAAATAGTTAAGAGATAAATATATATCTTTTAAAATTAAGAGATCAAAATAAACTCAAAATTAAAATAGAAGAAAAAAATATGAAATCGATTAATGTTTAGAATTCCACTATCTAAAAAATAAATAAATAAAATATTATAGATTTAAATAAATAAAAATCATTTTTCTAAAGCGTAAAACAATTGGCGCATACTTTTTCTACAAATCATTTTAGTTTTGGTTTAATATTTGAGAGAAACATTTTAATTTAACAGAGAGAAACATTTTAATAAACATGACAAAAAAAAAACACATATTTTAATCTAATTGAAAAAATGGATTGGCAAAAATATGTATAAAACATTAGGAGCAAGATAATAGGCATTGTTTGGTCAAATAAGCAAGCAATAAACATTATTTTTTTGGATTGCCCTCTAATGGAGGAAGAAAGCACTTCGAACGCCACCGTAGAGTCCAACGCCAGTGACCGCATTAAGCTTAACGTTGGCGGGAAGCTCTTCGAGACAACGCTTTCTACTATCCGCTCCGGCGGTCCAGACTCCCTCCTTTTCGCACTATCCAACCGCTCTTCCGACGACCCGAACCCGGTTTTCATAGACCGCGACCCAGAGATCTTCTCTGTTCTCCTCTCTCTCCTCCGCACCAACCACCTCCCTTCCACCGCCCTCCGCTTCTCCAAGCAAGAACTCGCCGACGAAGCCAACTTCTACGGCATTGACTCTCATCTCCGGGCCGCCACTTCTCCGCCGCCCTTCTCTGGCATCGACGCCTCCATTGTTGCAACCGTTCGTCCCGCATCAGAAGGCTTCCCTTCCACTTTCACCGCCGCTGATAACGGTTCCGTTTGGATCGCTCACGGCGGTCAACTCTCAAGCTACGACTGGAACCTAATCCACGCCGCAACGGTTCGTACCCACCTCGACGATATCAAATCTATTTGCAGAGTCTGGCCAGAGATCGCGGCTGTCGGAACTGCATCCGATGCTGGTTTACACTTCTACAACTTCTCCGGTAGCCGCCACGTAGGTTCAGTCCATTGGAGCGATCCGACGGATCCGCGAATCTTCAAAGCGCGAGTCAACGCGATAACCGCATCAGAGAATTCCGTTTTCGCCTCATTTGATTGTTCTCACAGGGAGAATTGCATCCTCGAGGTTGATAAGGCTAAGATCCAGATCGTGTCGCAATTAGGTCGACAATCGGGGAACCAGGCGAAGCACATGGTTCCCATGAAGTTGACGTGGATACCTACCACCGGAGTACTTGTAGGGAGCGCGGTCACCGGAGGAGCGTTTGGTTACTCCGGATACATCCGGTTGTGGGACCATAGGTCCGGGGAGGTGGTTTGGGAAACACACGAACCAGGTGCGTCGGGTAGGAGCAGTAGGTTTGGGGATTCATTTTCTGCTATAGAGGTCGATGTTGAAAAATTGTTACTATTTAAGCTGTGCTCGAAGTCCGGGGATTTGGCTATGGCGGATATGCGTCGTTTGGGCGATGATCCTTGGGTTTATTTGAAGGAGAAGAACCCTAGTTTATGGACAGATGGTGGTGACGGGAGTACTAGTAGTGTGGTGCATTGTTACCAGGGACAAGTTTTTGTCGGGAGGGGTGGAGAGTTGGAGGTTTGGTCAAGGGTGCAAGAGGTGGTAGAATGCGAGAGTGAGAGGGAGAAAGAGAGTGACGGCGAGGGAGTTTATAGGAGGAATTTTGTCGATAAGAGAGAGGACTCAGCGAAAGGAGTGATCAAGAAGATCGAAGGTGGCGGGGATAGGTTGTTTATTAGCAGAGAAGATGTTGAAGGGATTGAAGTATGGGAGAGTTCCCATTCTGCTGGAGCCATTTCGGTTTTGTGACCAATCGGGATAGGATTTGACACGTAGAATTGGGTTTGGTTACCATGTTGTAAGATTCTTCTTCCTCCATGCAAACTATGGAGTTGGTCGATGTTCTGATTTTTGTGAATAGCCGTAGTTTAATGCAATTTTTATTACTTTGTCATATTGATTTCATTTTCTTTACTGCATTAGCTCTAGCATCACAAATAAACCACAATGCCACAATAGCATCACGAATAAACCACAATGCCACAATGCGCCTTAAATGACTTTGTTATGATGTTCAAGATCAATTAACCTTTTGTGTCAAGTGTAATACATTATTGCCACTAACTTTATTTTACTTCTCTGTTTATCTTAATACTAACTTTCTCTTGTATATTGTAATTATATCTGACTTAAATGTTGAGAGAAGTTTGATTTGTGATTGACGGTAAACTTGATGATGGTTATCTAACCATTCTGATTGACACATGAGAAAGTACTTTGTTAACAATTACTAGTTTCTCTTAATAGATTATTACTAGTTATTACTGTTAGTAGTTAAGTCCCAATCCTTCTATCCATTCTCTCCTACTATCACTTCCACTTTCTTCCTTTCCTTTGGCAAGCCTCTCTGGTGGAAGCCTCAGATTGAACTCCCCTCAATTCAATGTTTTACTGGCTACTTTCAAATTTTGGAGCACCATTTGCTTTGGGTCCAATAATCTCCAACTTCAGGTAACCCTCCATCACATATTTTATTAGTAGTAATTTCTCAATTGTTCATTGTTATTAACACGCTTTCATATATGGATTTTATCTTTCAAATATACAGTTACAATTACAAGCCATTTCAAATGATTTGTTGATCACCCTAGTCTGCAAGCAATAGATTGGAAATCTGCCTATTATGTTAATTGATTAAAATTTGCAATCCTGTTTTAGGTGGGATGGAAATAGGAAGAATTTGTGTAGCTTGCGCCAAGTCTTTTGGCACTTGAGCTTTAAGGTATAGACTTCGTGAGGCTTCTCAATTGTGTGCTGCTTAGGAATCACACCCTTCAGATGCCTATTGTTGGAGTTAAACTTGGATCTGACAATAGTAGTTGAACCTGATTGCATTTTCCTTAGTGAGAATTTCTCAATTGACCATGAAAAGATTCTTATCAAATTATCAACACGACTCCTTGAAGCAACTGCCTTGTCCTTAAGGCAGAGATCAACAAGTTTCACTTTCTTGTTGCTTGCACTGCCTCAGAGATTCAGGCTGTTTGGTACATCTGTTTGAGGAGGCAAAGTTTCTGCCACATTACATGTACATATAGATGAAACAAATTGAAAGGGACCTAGGTACCATACGGACAACTTGATATTTTATTCTGTTAGAGGAAATCGGATTGATCGCAGTCATTTAAATTACATGACAAAAGAAAAACATGTTGCTGTATCACCTTAAGGGAGTATCATTGATATATCAAGCACCAGCTTACCTGTTTTGTTATAATCAAATCCCATATATGGAATTTGATTATTTCCATTGTTCATTCACTCTTGTAACCTAAATCATACTATAAATCCCGAACATGGTAAAGAGGTATGCAAGATTATGAGCTGTGTCCACGTTTCAAAGATTTAATTTTTAGGTATTGCTTGATCCAAATAACAGAAACATAAACATGAGAACGGAATGGCATTAATAACATTCCACTAGACAACATCAAAGCCCCCACCTTGAAGAGGGACCTAGATTGTCTGCATTTGAGTTTCCACACTTGCAAGTAAATCTAGATATTGGTGCATGACTCAAAGACACAACACTTTAAAAGTCATTTACTTATTTTAATGGTTCAGTTTAACTATGCATTTACTTTTTTTTTAATGGCTTAGATTAACTCTACAGTCACTTGAAATCCAAGAAGAAGGAGAATGGATGGAGAAAGGAGTAGATGTAGCGTGTACCATTACATATTTTGGACCTTTATAATATGATGGTGAAAAATAGTCTTGCACTTAATTGACTTGTGTATTTATGAAATGACCTTGAGTAGATTTTGATAAATTTGAAATAGTACTCTTTAAATTAAGGCATAATTAGTTCATAGGTCTAGTAACTTTTAAGTAAAGTTTTGCTTTAGTTCCTGAACTAAAACGTTACACAGTGGTCCCTTAACTTTTTTGTTGTTAAATTATTTGGTCTCTTCTGTTAGTTTGGGTGAAAAAACGTTAACTATGGTTGAGGTGACATATCAGGTATGCAATTAGTACAGTAAACATTAAACTGTTGCGTTATAAACGATTTAGGGTTCGTGGTATCCTATTCTTCATCTTCCTTATTTGTTTTTTACTATTCATCCATATGCAATTAGTTCGTGGTTTCCTATTCTTCCATCTTCTATCATGTTCCTTTGTATTCTCCATCTTTCATCTTCCATCTTCCATTTTCTTTCTGTCATGAGTGCTTCAATGTCAAAGATTGCAAGTAATGCTTCAATGTCAAACAATCAAAGTTTTGGTACATTTGGATCCGTGCTTTGTAGAAACAAGAGAATGAAGTGTTTTTGCTAAGATGATAGTGTTCTTCGCATTGTTAGTGATGTGAGCAATGTCAACTATGGGAGAAAATTTGTGGGTTGTAGAAATTACAGATATCACATGGATAAATGCTGTAATTTCTTCAAGTGGTTAGGTGATGAATTTGTCGATGAAAGAGATTTGAAGCTTGAATGACAAAAAAAGAAAATTAACAAATTGAAGAATGATGTTATCCACATTAGAGGATGGTTGAAAATGTCCATTGTGGTTGGGATGTTGAGCTTAGGGTTGAATCCTGTGTTTGTAACAATGTATTTCAATTAGGATTAGGGTTTTTCAATGTTTTATTTTTCACATTATGAATGTACTCTTATGTTGGTTTAATGAAGAATGTTATTGTCTGATTTAACACATTAGCAATGTTTGTTCATTATTCTCTATTTTAACATTGATATATAACTGCTATAAATTTTGGAACAAAATATAACCTGTGAAACATGCATCTAAAGGGACTTTATTCAATAACAGAAGGCCATTAGAAGTCTAAACAATATTCAATAACAAAAGGTCATTATAAGGCATATCTATAACATTTCAAAAAGTGATACAAAAAGGTATTATAAGGCATTGTCAGTAAGCCATTATAAGGCATATCAATAATATTCCAAAAAGGCATTATAAGCCATTGTCATTAAGCCATTATGAGGCACATCAATAACATTACAAAAAGTCATTATAAGGCATAACAAACATCACAACAAACATCAAGGTTGACTTGAACGGGCTTTCCACCCTTTTGAACTTTTTTCTTCTTCTTTTTGGGTGGTGGCTAACTTGAAACAGTTGGTTAGGGTGGCTGAGTTGAAACAAATGGTTGTGGTGGCTGACTTGAAACTGTTGGTTGTCGTGGCTGACTTGAAACTGTTGGTTGAGGTGGTTGACTTGAAACTGTTGTTTATGGTTCTTGAGTTGAGGTTTTTTCTAGTACCTGACTTGGAGGTGTTTGCGGTTGTGGTAGTTTACATGTGGCCTTGTTGTGACCATCCTAGTGGTAAAGACTGCACTTGATTCCATATTTTCCCCCTTTCAAGTGTGTCTCATCCCTCACCATTTCTCTAGCTTCTCCTTTCCTCTTTTTTCTAGGGCTTTCCAGGTTGTCTCTTTATTGGTGGTGGTTGGAGATCAACAACATCAGGTTTTGTCCACAAAGCTTCCCCATTAACTGGATAAATAACTGGTGCATAACAAGCTTAATAGAGTTCCTTCTTATAACAATTAGGTACAAAATCATTGCATGACATTGCATGACAACATGGCAGCCTTGTCTGCATCCACATTCTACATGAGCATTCTTTATTGGAAAGATTGGCATCAAATTTTTCTTCATTGAGTGATGTATGCCTAACCTCCCACTCATATTCACCCGCGCGTCTGTAAAAGAACAACAAATTAATCATAGGAATTTAACATAGTAAAAGGACAACAACTTAATAATTGCCTCACAATTCAATGGTTGGTTTTTTGAGATTTTCTTTCCATCCTCTTTTTGATGTTTGATAGTATTGTGCCTTCATATTTGTCAATCTTTTGCCTATTTGATTCCCATCTCTGCATTAGATACACTCTAATTTCTTCAAGAATTATCACAATTGGCTTGGCTCTAGCAGCTACAAAAACATAGTTGAATGCCTCAGACATATTATTGACCAAAGTGTCACAACATGTACTTGTCATTAACCTTGATTTTCTCTAGAATCTTGGTGGAGTATTGATGGGATGTTTGAATGCCTCTTCATTAACTCTCTTGATTTCAAGCATTATTTTCTCACATTCTCCTCAATGTCACAGTTTGTTCCATCATCACACACATTAGTCCCCACATCAATTTCATTAACTTCTAAGTCATCTCCCACATTTGTACTCTCTTGCCCCACATTGGTCCCCACATCAGTTTCATTAACCTCTAAGTCAGCTTCCACATTTGTACTCTCTTCATTAACTTCTAAGTCAGCTCCCACATTTGTACTCTCTTCATTAACTTCTAAGTCAGCTCCCACGTCAGTTTCATCAACTAGTATCTCTTCATTAACTTCATCATGTAATTTTAATGAAAGAATCGGTTCCTCAATAGTGTCAGACTATGAAATATGATGAGTAACATATAAATGACATTCCCCAGTCATTATTGCAATTGTTTCCTCCCCTTAGTTCCATTGTCATCCTCCAACAACACAATATCATAAGCATTCATTTCATCGTAATACCAAAGTTTATCTACAGTTGGATAACCTAAATCTTTTAACTGGCCTAAAATTTTAAAATAACTTCAATAATCTGGATTAACATCCCAAATGGTCTACAACCCTGCATACCTTGACTTTGTGAAGTTAGCAAAATCCCTAGAAAATTCACCAGAATGATAAACAATACACTTAAACTTATTCTCCATTACCTATTCAACCTACATAAGATAGCATAAGTAATAAGGAAGATGGCTAAAGAAA